ACAACTTATAACTAATTCAAAATCGGGACCCACAACACTGACATGTTCACTCGTGAAAGATTGTCCAACTTGATGTGCATGATTTTGTCTTTCGTTCATCCGGATGGGCCATACCATTACATCTCCAAGGCTTTAACCATGTCATATCAGAAAGATTTTGTTTGATCCATTTTTTCTCTATCTTTTATATGCATGTGTAAAGACTTTCATGCATGCAATTTATTGGTTAGTATAGGAATTGGAGGAAAGAAAAGCAAATGGAGTGGTCACATCTTTGGTGCTCTTCTAGTTGAACCCAACATGCATAAAGTGCTACTAAGATAAAGAAGAGTGGAAGGCATAAAGGTACAAGGTATAAAGACTTAAAGCTTTTAATATAGGAATAGGAGCTAGAGCTGAACGACATACAATATAATATGTAGCGCATGTGATGTTGGTAGGATCCAACAATGTATGGCATGGTTTTCAAAGCCAGACCGGACGGTTGGGCCGAAAAAATTGGAAATTGGTCTTTTAATTGGTTCCGTTTTTTCTAAAAACTGGATTTCTACCCAAAACCATTGATTTTGGTAAGCGAATTGTTGAATCGGGTGATTAATTGTTTGAACCGTTCGAACGATTTTGACCATTTTTTATTTTTTTGGTTTTTTTTTTTATTTTTCTATCAAAATGAACCAAGTATTCGGTTCAAACGGTCAGACCGTTCGATCCGATAACCAGACCCTAATTGATTTGATCACCGGATCGGTTTTAAAAACCATGATGTATGGAGTGCTGTGGAACATAGACGACAATCAAATTTTGTTCCCAGTACATTCAGAGAACACGTACCCCTTTTCCTGTTCAATACCCAGTCTTTTTATGTGTGTTTTTATGGTCAGGAGCTGCACTTGATGAGTGCGTTTAGTGCTGTTTTAAGTTTTAACCAATAATGACGCCCCATGCCAGACATCAAGTGTATATGCCCTACATCCACTCAATCTCTTATAGTTTGCATCAATGGCTAATGTGGGGTGTTATTATTTGCAAAACAGTTTCCAACGCAGCAGCGATCAAGTGCAGCTCATCATCCGGATAGGGTCCCCACAGTGTGTTGTCTGTTGTGTGCCCCAACAAGCGCTCCACAGCACATCTCCTCCGAGTATAGGAAATAATATTTCGCGCGCATAACTAACAGTACATCCCTTGGTGCTCAGGGGATGTGCTGTGGGGGAGTCCATCTAAACTCATTTATGATAACATTGAAGCTTGAAGAGGGATGCACCACCCTTGGCATTGATTGACATTGCTACCATGCATATTTGCAACACTTGATTCCTTGCAGACCTCCAATCAAGCACAAACAATTGGGAGGGAGTGAAACATGTATGGGACTATGGGAGGGAGTGCTATCCCAATTAAAGGAAAAATTTGCTTATGTATACTGTGAATATATACGTGTTCCACAAGAAAAATATCTGCTAAGGCTGCAATTTGGACTGGGTTAACCCGAATTCAATCCTAACCCAACTTGAAAAAGTTGAGTTGGGTTGGGTTGGGTTGATGCTCGGGTTAAGGTTAGGGTTGAAATTTATGAACCCTATTTTATTTCGGATTGGGTTAGGGTTGACCCCTTGGGCAATCCAAACCTGACTCTATAGTGTATATCCTATATAAATATATATTATTTATATGATTTATACATTGATTTGTTTAGGTGCATAATGGTTGTATAGCCACTACCACATTATCATTTATTTCATTCAAGATAATCACTTCATTTAATCCTAACTGGAAATACTAAAACCTTGATAACATATTTTATGTTTTCTAAATATTTTATTTTTTATCTCCTCTCTGTTGTTTGCTACCCATAAAAGATCTATTATAAGTCATCATAATAAACTATAGTCATTTTAAACACTTTTTTTTTTTGAATTTTGTACTTAAAGAACCAATAAAAACATTAATAAATAAATACTAATAAAACATATAATTAATATCTGTAATGAAAGTTAAGATCTAAGATTAAGAAGTTCTACAAGGTTTTAAAGGATGGGAAGAAGGTTGGGTTGGGCCCAACCCGAAGTTGACTTTGGGTTAGGGTTAGAGTTGGATAGGTCGGGTTAGGGGTTTAGAACTTAAGGTTGGGCTAGGATTGGCCTCAACCCAACCTAACCCGAACCGACTTGCAGCCCTAATATCTACTATGATGCATCACATGTCACCACCAATGAAATGAGAACACATCAGCTTTTAATTTGAAAGAAAAGCCAAAACATCGCATCAACCGTTTTGTTTTTTTTTTTTAATTTAAGAAATAATGTATTAATATTTCATTGGATTTGCACGCGTGACTACTGTTGCAGCATATGTGAGCTCCAGAGTAGCTTAATTCAGGCTTGAGTTCAGTTTTAGTTGAATTCGAATCTCGGATGAGCTTGACCAAAAGCTTACGAGCCTAGCTTAATTAATACATATATATATATATATATATACATGCATACATTATAGAATATAAAAATATATTTTATAATAAATATTATATAAATATATTTTATATTTTATATAATATAATATATATTATAAAATATGAATTTAAAATATAAAAATATATTTATTTTCAAGGTTTCAAGCTGAACTTGAGGTCATCTAAGATTTAGCCAAACCTAATGCCGGTAGGGCATATCGGCCTGTATCAATACTCTTTTTTTTGTTTTTTTGTTTTACTTTTTTTCGAACATGATTCAAAGGGACCGATTTATACCCCTTAAACCACTTGCCAACCCGAAACACCCCCTACAAGGGCATATCAGAAAGGTGTATCGAATGATGCATATCAATACTTTATACTTTATATATATATATATATAGTAAAAAGTGGTACTGTTGAGCAATACCATCCGTATTTACTAGTTCGTATATGAGGTGGTTGTGTCCCTTAATGCCTAACTGTTCGAATTCAAGTTAAATTATCTGGCTTTTGGCCCCACTTTTGGAGAATTGAGCCCTAGGTCCAATTATATGACCTTCATGTATGACTGCCAGCCAATGATCATCAAATTGACCCAAATGCAATCAAGTATAAAAAAAATCCAATCCAATTGAACTGGATAGGATCTCAATTGATAGATAAATTTGTAAATCTGTTTATAAAAGAATGGATTGGTTACGTTTGAGCGGTTTATTTTTCAGTACTAAGGGTCCCTTTGTTTCATTGGAACAAGGGTTTGGAATCGGAATCGGAATGGTTTAATTTCCATTCTTGGTGGAATTGGAATCCAATTTCTATTTTTAGTGAAATGACATTCCCCCGTTTGATGGAATGATCATTCCCTCCCTTCCTCCAGAATGTGACTTCCATTCAGCTGATTCTGATTCCAATTTCAATTCTCATATAAACCACACAGGTGGGGGTCAGAATAGACATTCTGATTCTGATTCCAAGGGGTTTTAATTCTGATTCTGATTAATTTCAACAGCAAACCAAACAGACCCTAAGAATTGTAACTTAATTTGAAACTGTGTTTGATTTCACAAGAAAATACGAGAACCAAAGTTGTGAAATTCCTTAGACTGGAAAAATTATAAATACAAATGCATGTATAGTACAAAACCTTTTATTTTGTATGTATTTTTAGGTTGTGTAATGCAAATTGCATTACTACAAATGCAAGGGAGTGCAAATGTAAAAAATGCAAAATCTTGTTTAGTTTTGTTTTGGATTTTACTTTATTATGTTTCATGCCTTAATTTACTTCATATGTACTGCAATCAAACAAAATAAGCTAAAATTTGAAACAAAAATAGGTCAAAATTTGCACTCAAATCATTTGCACTGTCATAGTTTTGCATCAGTGCAAATTTATTTGCATTGCAACCAAACACAACCTTATGCTTAGTTTGGAAGGAGTACAAATACAAATATATAGAACACAAAATCTTGTATTTTATATTATTTTGTATCTATTTGCATTTCTCTCTTATTTTCTATCAAACCAAACACAGCATAAGTCCCATCTAAATCAAATCAATTTCAATCTAAGCGAATTTTATTCAAACTCGAAATTGATCAGAATGAAAGAAAAACGCAATGAAATGGATGTAATTAAATTATAATATATATTTAATTAATCCACATTTTCACAATTATTAACCTATATATATTTCTGACCAAATGCAAGAAGAAAATGTGATCAAGGAAAGTAGCATTAGTAGAAAGTGTGGATGACAATAGTTTACCCAATAATTACTTTTCATTCAAAGTTTGAAAGCTTAGGTTTCCCGTGAAATTTCACACGTGAACCTAACAACTTTTGTTTAGAAGAAACTTGCCTGTAAATCATAGTCCTACCATCGATCACTACCAAAGGAAAACCACTGTACTATCTTTATTTGTTTATTTGTCGCTTTAGCTTCAATGTTCAAAGCCACCTTTGCAAAATATAAAGAAAATTCATACCCCACACACCTCTTTTTCTTTTCTTGATTAACCACTTTAACCAGTGTTGCCTTCATGTAATTAATCAAGATGGGTATAACCATGTAAGTTCTGTCTAGCCTTAGAGAAAAATTAAGAGGAATAGTGACAACAGTGTATAGAGTTATGCTCCCTACAGTGGGAACAACGTACCCTTTTTCTTCAGCTAGGTGGCCCTACATAATATGAAACTATGTTAATAACAAATCAGTGCTTTACCCTGTTTCAATTTTTTTTTTTTTTTGAGGAATGATCTGATCAGGAAGTCAGGATCAGCTTCTGTCTAATTCTTCAATAGTTTGTGTGCTTTATCATACATGTATACAATTAAAACCATCTGCATTTCTGATCAACAGAACAATGTCTTGAGTTGAATGTTCCTTACTGTTTCATGAATACCAAATGATCTGTTTTTATTAATGGCTGTCATAGATTGTACGACACTTTTGCACTTCCAGAGAGCACTGCTTCACATGTTATTACTGTGAAATTTTCACAAATCATTTAGATGCAAACCCACATAGATATACATCCTTTCAAGTGATTTCTTGACCTCCTGATCATTTATTTAAGTTGGGTAGATTAAATTAAAGAAGCAAATCAGAAATACTGTAAACACAACTCGAGCTTTCTGGGAACTCTAACAAATCAATCTCTTCATTCGCTGAAGGATCGAAAACTACACATATATATGGATAGTCCTTCGCACAAACTGCACTACACTGATATTACAAGAGATACTGAAGCTTTCTCCCTTTTCCTTCTTTTTTCTGATTGATTATTTTACACCATCTCAGAAAAAGAAAAAACAACACCGGGAGACTCGCCTTACTTCCCTCACAGAAAAGATTTGCTTCCTCCTTTTTATTCCATTTTATCCATTGTAGAAAGACCTCCTTTCCTGCAATTGGCAGAAACAGAAATCTGTCACGGAGAAAAGAAAATGTAGAAGAAATGCAAGGCATTGTATCTAATTAACCCATTTGCAATCTATGATGTGTTGAAAGATTTTGGCGTTGGAGTGGCTTAAAGAAAAATATAATATGCTTACCGTTCCTCAAAAACTCTTTTCATCAGTAGTGGTGTGGAGGAGGAGGTGAAGCATACACGTAGGGAGTTGGTGGCTTGTGCACCGGTGGTGGTGGAGGTGGAGACTTGTATTTATATACTGGGTGAGGTGGAGGTGGTGGGGGAGACTTGTACTTGTATACTGGGTGTGGTGGAGGTGGTGGAGGAGACTTGTATTTGTACACTGGGTGAGGTGGAGGTGGTGGTGGAGACTTATACTTGTAGGGATGTGGATGTGGGTGCTTATGTGGTGGAGGAGGAGACTTATACTTGTAAACTGGGTGAGGTGAAGGAGGCGAGTAGACGGGAGGAGGTGGTGGTGGGGATTTGTACTTGTACACAGGGTGAGGTGGCGGTGGTGGTGGAGACTTGTATTTGTAGACTGGGTGAGGTGGAGGTGGTGGCGACTTGTACTTGTAGGGATGTGGGTGGGGATGCGGGTGTGGGTGTGGGTGGCTTGGTGGTGGAGGAGACTTATACTTGTACGTTGGGTGAGGAGGAGGAGGTGGTGGTGATTTGTACTTGTAAACTGGGTGAGGTGGTGGTGGTGGCGGAGACTTGTATTTGTAGACTGGGTGAGGTGGAGGTGGTGGTGGTGANGGTGGTGGTGGCGGAGACTTGTATTTGTAGACTGGGTGAGGTGGAGGTGGTGGTGGTGATTTGTACTTGTAAACTGGGTGAGGTGGTGGTGGTGGTGGAGACTTGTATTTGTAGACTGGGTGAGGGGGAGGTGGTGGGGACTTGTACTTGTAAGGATGGGGATGGGGATGAGGATGAGGATGTGTTGGTGGTGGTGGAGGAGATTTGTAATGGTAAGGAGGGTGTGGGTGATGAGGATGTTTAGGTGGTGGTGGAGGAGATTTGTAATGGTAAGGAGGGGATGGGTGGTGGGGATGTGTAGGTGGTGGTGGAGGAGAGTGATAGTGGTAAGGAGGAGGAGGTGGTGGTGATTTGTAGTGATAAGGAGGAGGTGGTGGAGATGAGTAGGGGTAGGTGGCCGTGGTCTCTACCGGCAAGCTTATCAAGGAAAGCATCACCACTAGAAGAGTTGCTAAGTAGGAGGCCATTGAGGCACTCCTGCTTCCTTTCCTTCCCATCTTCCACAAATGGGTTTAGGCTGTGTCGTCTGTGGAATCCTTCACAGGTCTCACCCCTTTATATAGCTTAGTAATTTACCTCATAACCCTCAAAATATAAGGTAGTAAAAACCCATTAAACCCATGAAGGATGGAACTTTCTCTGTAGAAAAAACAAATCATACTTTGAATGGCTTTAATATTTAATGTCTTTATTGACTTTGGCTTTTCTTTTTCTTTTCCACAATTGTTGTTAACCCCTCAGAAGACATAAGAGGCTGCAGGCTGCAAGCTCAGCAAGAAATAACAAAACAACTCTGGATTTCCTTCATGTGATGATGCAATTATTCAAGTACAAAAAAGTCTTTTACATTCATATATATTTTTTTAGGGTCCCAAGCATTCTGTTCTCTCTCTCTCTGTAAATGCTTTTTATCAGCCAGATTGAATATAGCGGTAGGCACATCTCCGACAAAACCCAGAGCTGGGGGATGACTGGTTGGTAAATCTAGACTGAACCCAACAACCTAGCCTCACTAAACGGCATTTTGATTTTTGAAATGCTTATCAAACAATCTGGGTTTGAGATGAAATTCCCCCGACCCGAATTGGGGTGGGCATATTCCCCATATCCTTCCTTCTAGCTTTTTTCCTGCTGAATTCCCGCCGTGGGCCTGGTTCATGGCAGTGAACCCTTGCTCCTTTTTCTTTTCTTCCCGCCCTTTTCCTTTATCTCTTTTTCTTTTTCCTTTGGTAATTTGAAGCGTCAAGTTCCTGAACCTTCTGATTTTATCACTAATTTATTGAATTATTGCTTCTTAGTAAAGATCACTACACCTCCACTTGGAACTTGATTAGTGCAAAAAAACAGATAAAAAAATCATGGATTAAATAGACAACATAAAAGAAAATTTCTAACTCTAACATCACACAACCCCTTCAAACATAGATTCATCCACCACCTAACTACTCTAGATCCCATAACAAGACTAAATTTAACAATGTAATCTAATGGATTAGAAGAGATTAATTTTCTGTAGAATGTGGTCATGGTTTTCTGCAGTTTGTCCTCTGCATGGACCAGACATGGCAAATGATGGAGCATTGTGTACGAAAGCAGAGTAGGTAAAGAGTAAAACAGGGTAACTTTCAACATTAATGGCTACAGAAAAATCATACATGGATGGAGAGGTAAATACCCAAGTGGGCTTTACCTTTGACAGTACTGAGGCCAGCTTTCATTTCTTCATCCACTCAAATGGAGAGGAGATGAGACTCACATTTCTCCTAAAGATAAGATGATAATCAGAGTCACAGAGATGGGATAAAGTGTAGAGAGCATTGATTGCAATGTATGGGTGTTTTTCACAGTTGCAGATATTTCTGTCAGGTATAGGTTTTACTGCTGCTAACAGTCTTCTGCATTTCTTTTCTTCTTCCTTCAATCAAGCAAATCAAAGTAAGAGTATCACGCCTTCATTAAATGTGACACTGTATATCAATATGTCCACTTAGGCCCACATGTGTGCCATGTCTGATCTACAACCAAAAGCATATTACCCTTACACTTTCATGCATGCATCATGGAGTAGCAGGGTATCAATGCATGCTCATTAGAAAAGAGATTAAATCAATATAAACATCATTTTAGACTTTTAGTACTCACCGACACTGTATTTACATGTAAGGTCAAGTTAATATTATTTTAATTTCTTGGGGTGTCAGTAAGTCGGATCCATTTGAAACAAATCCGGGTAATTCGGAAGATGAAGGGCTAAATCTGAAATGGGTTGATAATAAATTGAGAAAATTCAAACATCCTCTACAGACAAGGACTCCAATATTTATAACCAACCATTGCCATTCTATTATTATATTGAGCTGATCATACACCTTCTAATAAAGAAAATTGGAGACTACGTACCCACTAACCCACATGTGCTAAATTGCATGTGCCTTCTGCTAGTATCATGTGCTAGTATCGTGTGTTTGGGAATCATATCCTCACCCGTCTATAATTGGCGGGTCGGGTCGGGTCGAGGGTAGCCTCAACTGAAGTAATTTTAATTTTCAATCTAATAATGGCAACACTTTGATCACACTACCAGTAAATCTTATGAATGTATAAATCTTTCAGACCATTGAAATATTTGGGTAGTGGAGACCTGCACTGACAAATAGGTTCTGTAGTAAGTAAGAGTTGTTCAATTTAACAATTAATCATTTATGTTAGTTTGAACCAGTGAAGTCACTGAGGTTGAGATTGAGATTGAGGAGGACTAACTAATTAATTAAGACATTGTTTAGTTTATTTGATGGGATTGAAGCCTAGGTTGTTGTCTATTGATGTTTGATTTTAGAAGCGCTGAATGCGGAGATTTAAGGGAAAGTGATTGATTGGTGAGTAGAAAGAGGCCATGTGAAGTGGGGGAGGGAGATGGAGAAAAAATAATTCACTAGGATGAGTGCAGACAGAAATCATATAAAATGAGAGCTTTGACTGCTTGGTAATGTCCCGGAATTGGACTAAACCAAGCCAACGGTTGGACCATGCACTCATAAACCATTCGACTGGACTTTGAAATGACATGGGGATTAGGGTTTGGATTCCTAAGAACCCAGCTGATAAGTTTCAACTACTGAAATCAAAATTCACTTCCACAATCCAAATGCCACCTTGTTGCATTATGGTCTAAAGATAAAGATAAAGCAGTAGAGAGATGCCAACCGATTCCACAAGGTTTGACAAACAGATTTTAGAATTAAAACCATTTGACAATCTGCCCAATTAGCTGAGCCAAATTAAACCGGCAAATTCACATGCAGCAAATCCCTTTTCATAATAGGGCACACCCGGTCGACCCTACTAATCAGTCCAGTCCAGGCGTCAAAAGACTGGTCATCATTTCAACTTTGAATCAATAGGATGGCATGGTATGGGATAGAAGCAGATTGCTTGGTGGAAACAAAAGAGTCTAACCCATAAAGAAGGGCTGGGAAAACAAGGAAAATAAAGAAAATTATTGGTGGGTTGAACATGTCTTTATGTAAAAGAGTGTCATCACTCATCAGTGATCAGCTTTCAGCTGCTGCGCAGAGTTGCTCACCTTCTCCTAACTCCTTAATGATTGCCTTAATTGCCTCGTATTTAGAGTCCTTCGAGGCCAAGCTGTCTGGTGATTGCATGCTCGTATGGTGCAAAGAATAATAAAACAATTTTAAACGTGAGTGGTTATCCGAGTGCGGCTGCCCATGGACCGGTGATACCCAGAAGCCATACACTCAGACACTGAATCTGATTTAATGACTCAATACTTGGGCAGGCTGTCCTTTGGGGAGGCTGATTTGAAGAGAGAGAGAGAGAAATATGACCCAGTTTTGGGTGAGACTCCCTCTAAATTAAAATCCATTTGCACGGATTGAACAGACCAATAAGATATATTAAATTTGGATGGATAGGATGGACTAATATGACATATTGGATTAGACCTGGTCCGTCCATAATAAATTTATATTGGAACGAGACAATTCTGATCCATTGATAGAAGATAAGAATATGGGTGTCAATGGTCTAGCTTTGAGTTGAAATCAATCTAAATTAACAGGAATTTGAACAGATTGAACAGTCTCTGGACCAGTGCAAAATGATTCAAAATATTCATTGGAATAGATTGGACTAGGTCCATTTGTAATGAATTCACACTGGACTAGACCGGATTGAACCAAATCCAATCCAATTGACACCCCTAGACATGATTCAGTAGTGAACTTCTAGGGCTCCCTGAATTACTTTCAGTTTCTCAGCCAAAGGAATTGCCAATTGTCTAGCCACCCTCCTCCAATGAGATATGGAATAATATTTTGGGAAAATTAATTATTTATTCGGGCACGTTTAAATTTTTTACTTACAATTAAGGAGCGTGGAACAACATGCTTGAAAAAAAAAAAACAAAATCCACCAATGTGAACAACTGATAATATTGTGGTCAGAGGACTAGATTCATCCCCAGCAAGTTCTGCTACTGCTATATATCCATTATGAATAACAGCAAGCATAGAGAGTTATTGCTTTGAATATTTCTTAGTCTGAATTGGTTGTTTTAATTTCCTTTCCTCTTTTCCATATTCAAAACTTTTTCAACACTTCAAAAATTCAAACTATTTCATTTTGTTCACCATTTCTCTCATTATTTTAAGGCTTGAGTGATTCAGTTTTGGAGGGCTTTTTTTATTTTTATTTTTTGTAATATTAGTAAGTGTGTACGTGTTTTGTATATGACAAATTTTGATGATGGTGATGGTGATGGTGATAGTATATAATATATTTCCAAAATTTTCTATAATTTTTTTTTATATTTCTCTGTCTATGCTGTCACACTTATTTTTCTTTAATATGACTCATTAATATAAAATATTAGAGATATGTGCAAATGCTTTCTACATAATTTATATATTTTATTTTTATTTTTATGTTTTTACATTTTTTAAGTATTATTTAATTATAACTTCACGGGTTCACACAATTGACCTCAAATGTTTAATTTTTTATCTACCACCAAATAGGAAAAAAATTCACTTTTGGGTTAATTTTGACTTTTGTATTTTATTTACATCATCAGTAAAAGGTTAAAAACAATTCTTGTTTTATCATGTCTAATTTTTAATATAATTAATGTAAAATATTAAAGATGTGTCCAATTTTGTTTACATAATTTCTATCTCTTTTCATATATTTTTGCATTTTTGTCATTTTTAATGTTTATTATTTAATTATGAAATCAAGGGTTGACACATATAACCTAAAAGGCTGAACATTTGACCCACCACCAAGAAATAATTTTATTTTTTGGTTGGTTTTAAGTTTTATATTTTATTTCCAACATCAATAAAGCAACTATTATTTATTACACTTATTTTCATTAATATGATTATTATAGAATATTATATAGGTGACTAGATGTTATTTACAAAATTTTTGTATTATTACGTAATGATTTTGTATTTTTATCTTTTTCAATTTTTTTTATTTAATTATGATATCAAAGGTTG